TTCATGGGGGTAGGGGATCTGGCACAGGAGGAAAAAGTAAATAGACATTCTCACTTTGATGAGTTTGCTTGGGGCTGATTGAATAAGAACAAGTACCACTTGCTGTTGCTGTTGTTGTTTTTGAATAATGTTGGGCTCTGTACTAAGAAACTGTAAGTAAATTAGCTCAATTCAAACAATAACCATGTAAGGCAGGTATTGTTTTCATCCTCATCATCTCTTTTCCAGGTGAGAAAACTGATGGTTGGAGAGGTGGTCACTTGCCTAGAGTCACACGATGACAACTAACACGTGTTCAGAACTTTATCTGTGCTTGCACCGCGACAGCAAAACTCACTTAATCCTTACCACACCCAAATGGAGTCAGTAACTCCACTTTACAGAAAACCAAGGCACAGCATTTAAGTAAGTGCTCAACACCATATAGTTGTCATAGTAATAAGGACGGGGGCCAGGATTTAAACCCAGGTCCTCTGGCACCAGAGCCTACACCTGACCATCACTCTGTTACTAGTCTCTAGGGAGCAGGCCTGCAGATCTGCCCCCCCACCCCACCCCGTTCTTCAGAGGGAGACCCAGGTCCAGTGAGGCCTATGGCCAGAGTGACACAGCTTCATGAGGGAGTGTGGACTGGAGCCTGGTTCTTCCGACTCAATGCGCTTTCCATATACCATGTGCCCTTCATGAGGCCTCCCTGGCCCCCAGCCCCCGCCTCCCCGCCTCCTATGAATTGCCCCGAGCTTCTGGTCTGCAGGCCTCTCAGTAGGCCCCGTGGCTTTGCCGTCGTCCCTGGTTTCTGATGAACCCCTCTTGCTTTCCTTCGATCAGCCTGTATCACATCTTATTCCCCCTTTCCGCCTGCTTCCTGCTGGTCCTCTGAGTAGCTCAGGCTGGGCTGACGTCTGGGGCTCAGAGATGGACACAGCCCTGACGTCCAGGAGCAGATGACCAGGCCCCTTGGCACGAATCATGTCTGAACTCACTGAGCTCCCAGAGGCCTGGGGCCTGGTGGGGGCTGGGAAGGGGGAAGCCCTTCCTTCGTGGTTCTCAGGCCCAGCCGGGAGCCACAGCGCGCAGGCCTGGCCTGACTTACTCGGGCTCTCTGCTCTCGCGCCTGCCTCACGATGGCCGCCCTCCTCAGTTTGGTGAAGGCCGCTCTTTTCCTCAGGAGCTCATTGTAGAAGAACAGGATCCGCTTCTTCTCTCGCTGGGCCAGGAGAAGAGGGTCAGTACCAGCGCCGCGGGAGCTGCCGGTGGCCGGTGTGTGTGTGTGAGCGCTGCCCGGAGGGGTGGGGAGGTCAGGGGAGAGGCCAGGGTGCACCTTGGGGAAGTAGAAGGCTGCGATGACCCTCCGGAGCCGGTAGCCGAAAGCCTGGAGCAGACAGAGACACACTAGCAGGCCGGTGGGGAGTCCAGTCCTCGCGTAGGCTCCGGCGCTCAGGCGCACGGGCTGAGGCAGGCAGGCTGGGGGCGGGGAGGCCTGTCAAGGGTCTGGCCGCTGAGGGACAGGGCAGCCCTGGCTGAATTCCCACCCCAGTGAGGGCGCGGGTTAGGTCTGAAACCTTGCTGGACTCCCCGCTTCCCCCGCCCCCTGAAGAGCTGGGCCATCAAGGGCCCCAGGTGGCTATGTGCTCAACACAGCGCAGATGTAGACCATTTCCATCGGGGCAGGAA